ATATCAGCGGCATATAAATCAGTGGTATTTGTTGGATAAAATTAGTGGTATTTGTTGGATAAAATTAGTGGTATTTGTTGGATAAAATCAGTGGTATATAAAACAGTGGCATATAAATCAGTGGTATATATTTCTGGTTGCAAATACCGTTAAGAAAAATGTATACATTAAATGAGATATGATCTTCGCACTTAGCTGGACAATTTAAGCAATCGTCTCAGGACCTGAAAAAATCAGGTGACTCAACGGGATTCGAACCCATGACTTCTGCGGTGCCGGTGCAGTGCTCTGACCACTGAGCTATGAAGTCACACAGTGGTGAGCAGGTCAATATTGTTGGGCTCATGTTTTCTCGTGAAATGAATGTCATATGAATGTTTTTATGCAGTGCCGTGTTTGAAATTAAATGAGATATTATCTTCGCACTTAGCTGGACAATTTAAGCAATCGTCTCAGGACCTGAAAAAATCAGGTGACTCAACGGGATTCGAACCCATGACCTCTGCGGTGCCGGTGCAGTGCTCTGACCACTGAGCTATGAAGTCACACAGTGGTGAGCAGGTCAATATTGTTGGGCACATGTTTTCTCGTGAAATGAATGTCATATGAATGTTTTAATGCAGTGCGGTGTTTGAATTAAATGAGATATGATCTTCGCACTTAGCTGGACAATTTAAGCAATCGTCTCAGGACCTGAAAAAATCAGGTGACTCAACGGGATTCGAACCCATGACCTCTGCGGTGCCGGTGCAGTGCTCTGACCACTGAGCTATGAAGTCACACAGTGGTGAGCAGGTCAATATTGTTGGGGCTCATGTTTTCTCGTGAAATGATTGTCATATGAATGTTTTTATGCAGTGCGGTGTTTGAAATTAAATGAGATATGATCTTCGCACTTAGCTGGACAATTTAAGCAATCGTCTCAGGACCTGAAAAAATCAGGTGACTCAACAGGATTCGAACCCATGACCTCTGCGGTGCCGGTGCAGTGCTCTGACCACTGAGCTATGAAGTCACACAGTGGTGAGCAGGTCAATATTGTTGGGCTCATGTTTTCTCGTGAAATGAATGTCATATGAATGTTTTATGCAGTCGGTGTTTGTTTGAGATATGATCTTCGCACTTAGCTGGACAATTTAAGCAATCGTCTCTGGACCTGAAAAATCAGGTGACTCAGCAGATTCGAACCCATGACCTCTGCGGTGCCGGTGCAGTGCTCTGACCACTGAGCTATGAAGTCACACAGTGGTGAGCAGGTCAATATTGTTGGGCTCATGTTTTCTCGTGAAATGAATGTCATATGAATGTTTTTATGCAGTGCGGTGTTTGAAATTAAATGAAATTAAATGTCCAGCTAAGTGCGAAGATCATATCTCATTAATTCTATATATATGATCATATTCATGAGAAACATAACCTTAATGTTTCCTGTCCCGCTCGATGTCATACTGCACCATCGAAGATAATTCGTTAGTCACCTGATTTTCATCTGGACGAAGCTTAAATTGTCAGCTAGTGCCATATCTCATTTAATTTCAAACGCTACATAAACATTCATATGACATTCATTTCACGGAAAACATGAGCCCAACAATATTGACCTGCTCTGTGTGACTCGTCAAACACCGAAGTCATGGGTTCGAATCCCGTTGAGTCACCTGATTTTTTCAGGTCCTGAGACGATTGCTTAAATTGTCCAGCTAAGTGCGAAGATCATATCTCATTTAATTTCAAACACCGCACTGCATAAAAATGTATACAGGTAAAAATTTAATACTGTTTGTATTTTATTAAGAAAGTAACTTTTACATGTTTGTAAATGTCTATCGTCCAGGTTGGTATAGTCCTGTGAAGGAATGTTTTTGTTTAGGTTGACAGACGTTTCAACAACCTTAGCGGTAGTCATCTTCAGAGTCAAAATCAGCCCTTCTCCGGACTATACCAACTTGGACGATCGACATTTACAAACATGTAATGATACTCCCAGGTTCAAATCATTTACTTTAAAGTAACTTTTAAATATGACAGAAAGTCGTTTGCCTCAAAACTATTAATCTGTCAGTATAATGAATTTTTTTGAGAAATTACCAAGTAAATTATATTTTAAATTATGATTTCGTTTTTGTATTTTATGTAAGTTATTTCATGGAAAAATTTACTGATGTTTCAGTAAATGGATTGAAAAGAAAGTTCATTTTATCATGATGATGATCACACAGCATAGAAAATGATTAAGGAATCAGTTGAATAAACATTTATATCATTATGACGAAAATTTTTTTGGACGATGGGAATACATTATGAAGTCTTATTGTAAAGACATTTATCCATTACCTACAACAATTTCAGAACCGTGAAAGGTGTAATTATTGTGTAAAATTCAAGTTAAGCTTGGAAAAATTAATGCTGGATTATATTGAAGCTGATTTTTTACATTTTATTTGTGCAGAGAAACAGAGAAAACTATAAACAAATTGAAGTAAGCTCCTATTAAAAAAATTGAAAATTGGGAGAATGGATTGTTCTTCAATAAATACTGAATACAATAAAGTGTATGGATAAAGTGTATGCTTATTTAAAAAGTGATGATGATGATGATGATAGTGAAGAAGAATATAATAATGACAAACTGATGTAAATGATAAAGAAAACAAGAAGCGAAAAAGAATAAGTAACAAAAAAACCATAAAACAAATAAAAATAAATTAACATTTTTTTCATTTTTTATTAGCAATTTTTTTGCGATTACATGATGGGAGAACTTTATACCAAAAATCATGTTCTGTTATAGAAAAAAATGGTTTTATCTTTTGTCGTTTTCGACTTATTGGCGGACATGATTGTAATTTCTACTATAATCAATACAAAGCTAGAGTTGATATGAATTAAACTACACAAATTATGTAAATGAATATGCTATGAAAAATCAATTATTTCATTTTTAAATTAATGCCAATGTCATATTATGAAGTTAAATTTATGTTACAAACTGACGCCTCCTGTTTTTTTATTTTTATTATTTTTCTTAGTAATTTTTTGAAGATTACATGACAGAAAATTTTAACTAAAATTATTACCATTTTCTCCAATTACAAGACATGATTTTTTATGTTCTGTAATTGGAAAAAATGGTTATATTTTTTTGTAGTGTTTAACATATTGGTAGACGTAATTGTAATTTCTACTATAATAAAAACAAACCTAGAGTTGATATGAATTCGAACTACACAATGTATATAAATGAATATGCTGTTAAAAATCAATTGTTTCATTTTTTAAATTAATACCAATGTCATATTATGAAGTTAAATTTATGTTGCAAACTGACGCCTCTTGTTTTTTTTGTTTTTTATTATTATTATTAGTTATTTTTTAAAGATTACATGATGGGAAATCTTTAAGAAATATTACCATTTTCTCAAATTACAGAACATGACTTTTTATGTTCTGTTATAGGAAAAAATGGTTATATTTTTTGTCCTGTTGCACATTGCTAGACATGATTGCAATTTTTACTATAATCAATACAAACCTAGAATTGATATGAATTCTAAATACACAATGTATATAAATGAATATGCTATTAAAAAAGAATTGTTTTCTTTTTTAAATAAAGTTTAATTTTAAAATACTTAGTGTCTTTTATTCCTTTAATTAAATCTTCAAAGTTATTTTACAAATTTAAGTATATCACAACAGTTTTTTTATGTGTTATATTATGTTTTGGTTTTTTTAGCTTTGTTACGCATTCTACATAATGTATTTCAGCATTTGAATTTTGTTATTGAAATATGCAGGACATGCTATTTTATATTATTTGCACTTTGTGTGCAGTTATTTATTTAACTTTAGAAGAAAAAACAAGTACATTAAAGATTTTAAAATATATAACTACCAAAAAAATTTATGGCAGTCATAATTTTTGAATTTTCAAGAGAAAAGAGAACTTTATAAAAAATATGATTTTATTGAAATTTTTAATGGAATCATTCGTTGTTTTGATTATTGTAATAATGAATAATTACATTAATATCTAGATATATATGGGGCGCCATCTGTGGTTTTATTATTTAACCGCATAACACTGTGATTTTCCCTGATTTATTAAATAACCAATTTCTTATTTTGGTTATTTAATAAATAACCACTTTATGAAAACATCGAAAATTGGTTATTTATTAAATAACCAGTTTCTACACACGCCGAAAATTGGTTATTTATTAAATAACCATTTTCTACACACGCCGAAAATTGGTTATTTATTAAATAACCAGTTTCTGCGCACGCGAAAAAATGGTTATTTATAAATAACCAAAATAATTTCGAGACACTTGGCGTGCCAAATGACGTCAGCAAGCAAAAAAATAATTTTCTCAGTCCCCCCCTGGATAAGCACTCATTTCCGCACTGTTGCGTTATTGAAATTTGATCGCTTGTCGCGAAAAATTTCATTTTGTCTGTAAGTTTCCCGCTCGGCGTGTTTTCTATTTGTCTTTTTTGTCAAATAAATATGTCTCAAACGCACAATCTACAAAGAGCAATTACCGAGGCCGTAGGAAGAGCAGTACACGAGGCACTGCGAGATCAACATGAAGAGGTAAGATCAGGGCCGGATTAACATTTTGCGGGGCCCATGGCATAATATCAGTGCGGGGCCCTTGCCCCAACCCCTGTGTTTACCAAAATGCAATAAAAAACTGTTTTTTTAACTCAAACAATAAAACCTCGTATTTTGGCCTATTTAAACCAATACGTTGAATATAATTCCAATTTACAATCACGTACGTATACCAAACATTACATACCAATATTAAACAGACTAATATAATAAACACGATAAAAAAAGACGTAAAAGGTTTTACTGTGCAGAAGTGTTAAGCCTTATAAACGTTATGCTTACGGGATTTCATAAGAGCAAAATCATTAATCAGGGATGACATATCAATACTACGCAGAACATCATTTTCAATACTCAGAAGAGCAAGGCTATTTAGTCGTTCCTATGTCATGGTTGAACGAAGATGATCTTTTATTAGCTTTAATTTCGAGAACGACCGTTCACCAGAACAATTTGATATCATCATACTGAGGTAAATGCGAAACACAATAACAGTGTTTTGAAATACAGTTTCCAGGTTATTTCCCACAAGAAACCTGTATATACGCAGTTCTAGGGAGTCTACGTTCACTTTGATGTCGTCATCATCATCGGATGTTACATCGATGTCATGGTCTTCACTAGGCTGAGCAGAAGATTCAATTCGAGCTGAAGAATAATGAGGTGCAGCTGCATGACTCGCATCTAATGCTCTTTTCACGAATTCTGTGTTGAGAAAGCTAGAAAACTGGAGCAATTCATCACCCAAATTGACTTCGAGGTCAGTGGAAAATGCTTTTTGCAATCTTTGTGCGTTTTCCAACACGTCTTCAGCTGGCAGATCTGTAAGCTTTCGCAGAAAGCCAAACTTTTCAGCAATGTTGATGTAAGCGCTCAGTCGTTTTCGCAACTCAGCATACAGACTATCGATTATTACAAGGAAAGTACCTGTGCGAAACTTGTCGGCTGGAATCTGCAACAAATCAGGTGCTGATCCTGGCTCGTCGTTACGACGATTTCGTTTACGCACGCGCTTGATCTCTTCTTTATATTGATCACATTCACTGAGCTCCTTTCCTTTGGCTTCAAATTCTTCAAATCTGGTTCGCAGTGAAAGGACAAACTCAATCAGCGATTCATATAATGCAACAGCAGTGTTGAGATCTTGATCAGCTAATTGCAGGATCTGACTTGTTCTCTGAAATCGTTGCAAGATTTGATGCCATAATGCTGCCAGAATTCCAATTTCAAGCTGGGCCATATCAGACGCAAGACTATTGGCTTCATTTTTGGCTTCAGGCTTCTCATCTTGATCATCATGGATCTCGTCTAAAGCAGCATTAATTTCCTCGTATCCTATTACTAGAGCTTTTGTAGCATCTGCACGTGCTGACCATCGAGTATCAGACATACGTTTAACCGTTGGAAGTCTCTTGCTTGAAAGTTGGTCGGTTAAAACTTTCCAACGATGCGTTGAAGCAGCAAAGAAAGAGTACAATCGTTGGAGGAAGTTGAAGAATCTTGATGCTTCTTGACAACAACTGGCAGATGATTGTCCAACAAGATTAAGGGAATGTGCAACGCAGGGTATGTACTGTGCTAGGCTACAATGTTGCTGAATAATGGCCTGCATACCATTATATTTCCCACTCATATTGCTTGCATTGTCATATGACTGGCCGCGGCAATCCGAAATATTTATATTATTGGTTTTCAAATAATCTAGTAGCCTTATGTCCACGTATGTTAAGGAAAGATACAAATCGTTCGACAGGACCAGAGGGTAAAACGTATCGAAGAATGCATGTCAGTTGATCAACGTGGGAAATATCTGGGGTAGAGTCTACACAGACGGAGAAATACTTTGCAGCTTTAACTTCTGTAAAATCTGCTCGCGAACTCGAGTTGCCATCAGTTGGATGAATTCCTCGCAAATGGTCTTTGAGAGATAGGATGTGTGACCCTTTCCCTTATTTGCATTACGGTTGATGTGTTGCGCTAGAAATGGATCGAACATCGATATAAGTTCTAATGTTCCCAGGTAGTTACCGTTTTTTGGCGATCCAACGATCTCATCAGTGCCGCGAAATAGTAAACTTCGCTCGGAAAGGTAACGGATGGTTTCTGTTACCCGCTCAAGTACTGCCCGCCAATAGTTACGCTCATCACTGGCCTGTGTGACCAGTTCTGAATCAATACGGCAGCCAGCATCGCTACGTTGGAGTAGCTGAAAACAGCATTACGGTGCGCTGAACTTTTCTCATGTCGTGGAATTGACTGGGATGCGCGTTTCCAGTCATTATAACCTTGTTTTCCAAAACGATGCTGTCAGTCATGAGTTTACACGCAAAACACAACACGACATGTTTGGATGGTGAATAGCAGAGCCAGTTTCGAGGATGTTGCTGTTTTGTAAGCTCATGTGTGTACGTGAACAAAGTTTTTTGACATCGTCTATTGTAAGCATCTCCCTCATATCTTGTTGATGTTGCGCTGAAATCGGCATCGGAATTTCTGCACTGACTACTCCCTTGACCTGCCCAGTGCTCTCTCATATTGTCAGAAATATCAGTAGGCCATAATCCCAAATCACAAGAGTATCCATCATTGTTATCAGTGGAAATGGACGTATCACCAGATGTCAACTCCTTGGATGTGTCGCCGGTGTCGGGTTCCTCAACTGCTTCTGCCATTGTTGTCATCGCTTCATCAGCCTTCGGAGGAAACAGTTCCGATATTTTCGGCATTTTACTTAAAACTTTACTTTCCCGTAAAATTCGTTCATCCTTTGCCTTTCGTTTTGCTGCTCCAGATGCATATTTGCGATTTTTGTCGCGGTCGCGGTTGCCACCCCCACTGGTGGAACTCATTCTTTAATTGTTAACTATATTATAGCAATTAGCAAACCTAAAAATTTGAAAGTGACGTTTTAGTAATATTTACTTTCACAAAACATAGAAGGACGATTTGACGGTTTACTATCGCACATACAGAATTGTGAGAAAATAAATCAAACACGCATACGCTTCTTGGGCCTTTGGAGCTGCCAGGAATTCAGGACATTTTTGAAATATATTGTTATTTCATATAAATCGGCAATTTATATATGAGGAATAAACATGTAACCAAGGAAACGTAAGAATGCAGACGGCTCACGGCAGTTAGTAAATCATCAAAACTTACCAAGCGTCGCCGTCACTGCTTCAGCATTCAGCCAAATACCTTGAAGATCTCCAGTTTGAATTTGTCAACAACACTTACAAGTCACAAACAACAGCAATCTCAAAAATTATCAAAATGAATCGAAAAAAGTCTGATAGTATTCAATACGGTTTGAAAGTCGAGACTATAACAATATCGAGTTGCAATCCTACTGCCAGACGAAAGACTTTATGTAATATAATAGGTGTAGCTAAATTAACGGAAACTGCAACATGTAATATGACGATACAAATGGATCTCCTATCGCATTGCAAAATATAGCCTATATTTTGCCAGTGAATCATTGATACTTGCAGTGTTACCGTTTTTGGAATTGGGCCTCACGCTTTTATATTTCAATTAGTCTTGGCCGTTTCGCTTTATTTCCCTTTTTTTCTTTTTCCAAAGGCAAGCGCGGGGCCCCCAGAAGCGCGGGGCCCGCGGCATATGCCGCTTCTGCCATATGGTTAATCCGGCACTGGGTAAGATACAAAGCAAAATATTCTCCGTTCATACTTGTAAATATTCAATGTGTGATATGCGTCGAATCACGAGGTCGTCGATTTTACGTGATAAAATTCTTACAATTTTAGTCCTCTGATGCAGCTAATGCCCACGAAAATAATAATGAACCACAGGTAACATTCTAGTGTATATGGGTGCATCCAAGCGAAAAACATCGTTAAATTTTGATAAATTTATAACTTTGCCAGAATTCCAACTCAAATGATGAAAATGAGGGGTAAGAAAACTTAGCAAATATTATGTGGTATTTCTATAGTACTACATTTGTATTGAACTCATTTCATTTTAATCAGTAACAATTCAGGAAGAGTTGGTCGACCAAAGAAAATAATTCCAAGGGATGTATTGGAAAATTTGCTTCAGTTACGACTTACGATTGTGGAAATTGCCAGACAGTTGAAAGTCGACAGGTCAGTGGTCTACAAAGCAATGTCGGAGTATGGGTTGTATCGAGAAAACTTTTCACAATTGTCACAAGACGAAATAGAGAAAGAAGTGGACGCCATTAAACAAAATCATCCTAAGGCTGGCGAGGTCATGGTTCAAGGGTACCTTGAATCTAGGGTCTTTACATTCAGCGACAAAAAGAGAGAAAAAGTAAACCAATAAAGCGTCGCATTTATACTAATCCTTTTCCCAACTATATTTGGCATATTGATGGGAACCATAAACTTGTTAGATGGAGACTTGTCATACACCATGGTATCGATGGTTTTAGTCGATTAGTGGTATTTGCACATTGTTCTTCAAACAATCGAGCAACTACTGTTCTATATCACTTCTTATGTGCTGTCTCGAAGTATGGGCGTCCTTATAGAATTCGTACCGATCTTGGTGGCGAAAATGTTGACATCTGGCACAACATGATTTTAACACGAGGCAATGAAACTAAGCCGGTTGTTGTAGGGAATTCAGTGGACAATCAGAGAATCGAAAGACATAACAGAGCACTAAATGAACAAGTTCTAACAAGTTTTAGATCTGAATTTTATGCACTTGAAAGTGAAGGTGTATTGAATGTCAATAATGACACTGATATATTTTGCCTCCATTCAGTGTATCTGCCACGAATCAACAAAATCCTTGACGAGTTTGTTGCTGCTCACAACAGCCATAAAATATCTACAGAAGGAAACAAAACACCTGAACAATTGTTTTGGGTTAACATTAGAAATGCATACCATGAAGATGATATGCTACCAAACACAAGCAATCTTGACATTGAAGAACTAGCGTCAAGTGATTTACCTCACGTCAATGTACCAGATATATCATGCCCTTTGCAAGGTGACTTACAGTTGCAAAATTTTAGTACATTCATTCAATCTCTTTCGGCAGTGAGCGGAAAAGCAGCATACCTTGAGGCTGTTCGTTTCTTGGGACAGTCAATGCTTGATGAGCAGAACCCTGAAGATTTGCATGCACAATAGATGACTTGCCTTTTTTACTTTTGCTAGCAGGCAGATTTGGTCTAGGGCTTTTGGAGAACATTAGCAACAATGGTCAACCTCTCTTGGGATTGATCTGCCAGCCAGCAAAACGTAAACAAGACAAGTCATATATGAGTAGTAAAAAAATATAGTCTTCACTTACTATTTTATACAGTAATGACATGCTAAGAGGAATATAGATACGTCAGTTAGAAATACGTTGTTTTACATCATTACCAAATCGTAAATTAAATCAACACAACTATTGCTTAAGGCCGATTTATGCTGCGCGCGACGTGTCGCACAGTAGATCTTACGTCATTGCGACTAAAACGGAAGTATATCTTGATGGCGCGTTTGCTTGATGTCGCGTCGCGTGCATTCAAAAATTTTGTAACGTCGAAGACGAGTTGTCGCGTTGTCGCGCGTTGTGATTGGCTGAAAGGCTTCTTTCGGGGGGAAGTTCTTGAGTTGTTTGTCAATACTGAATAATGAATATCCAATTACCAACACAAGACAGCAGCAGCAATGGAAGGGTTCGAAGAAAAATTAGCAGAAGAAGTCCGAAAATATGGTCATCTTTACGATTCTTCGAGACGAGATTATAAAGATACTCAGAAAACCAATAATTCTTGAAATGAAATAGCGAGAAACCTTAACACAAATGAACAAATTTGTGGACAGAAATGGAAAAATTTGAGAGATCGTTACACCAAAGCCAAGAAACGAATGAAGTCTAGAAGTGGAGATGCTGGTGGCAAATCTATCCCACCGATATTCCTCAGTCTGTCTTGGTTGTCTGATCATATAAAGCATAGGGACACAGAAACCAATTTTCGGGAGGTAGTTATAATCGCTATTAAAAAAATTATAATATGGGACAGGCTGACTGATTGAGTAGATTATTATGTTACATCTGTTGTTGTTGTGATTGTAGGAGAACACTGAAGAACCTATAACAACATCAGAATCCCTTCCACTAGGAGAAAATTTTGTTACAATAAATATGGAGGAGTTTGACCTAACCGCGTGGTCTCCCTGAACAAGTAGAAGCGATTCAAATGTCAGTGAAAATTCGTGTACAACACCTACATTACCTACCAAACCTACCACACCAGTAAGTAGTGACCCATCTGCCCCTTCCACAATTGCTTTGAGTAGAGCTGTGGTAAACCCGACCAAGGGCTGTAGAAAGAGATCTGCACATTTAGAGACATTAGTTTGTGAAAGACTTGATTCTTTGAAAAAGATTAGAGAAGAAAGAGAAACAAAACATATGAAAATTGATGAAGAAAGTCGCTTTTCAGATACAGTGGCTGACACTCTCCGAAAGCTTCCAGGCAAGTTGAAATCTGAAGCTAAATTTTCCATTCATAAAATATTGTTTGAAATGGAACAAAAACTTTATGAAAACAATGTAGACCAATAACTTTCTATGTTTTATAAGTAACAATCTATTATTTCATACAATTAAATATTCATTTAGTTAAGAAAACCTCGTTGTATTACATGATCTTGCCATGGTAGCTTTCCCAAAGGAGACATAAAAAATGATTTAAAGTCATTTCTGGTTGCTGTAGCAGCTCTAGAAGCACGAGCACTTGAAAAACTTTTAATATTCTGAAAAATGTTTTGTGAACCCACAACATGTCTCCACTCTCCAGGGAGGACTTCGTGAGATGCAGTGGTTGAATCACTGAAATTGGGAGGGGAATATCTAGTGCTGGGTATATTAGCAGCATCAGTAAATAACAAGAAATTGTGAAGTGCAACACATGCCTTCACAATTTGAACAGCTTTCTCAGGGTAAAATTCCATTGGTTTTCCAAGAATTCGCCATCTAGCAGTCATGATACCAAAGGCATTTTCAATTACCCTTCTAGCTCTGGAATGGCAGTAGTTATAAATTTTCTTGGTATTGTCAAGGTTATTACCTTAAGAGTAAATAGAACAAAAATGGCATTAAGATCAACTGTTTTAGCAATTTACAGAGTCTTGGGAAACTGTGCCAACAAGCAGCCAGGAAATTTTTTTGATCGCAATTCTTGTGGGGAATGAAAAAAACATTTTGAATGAGTCTTACAGAGACATAAATTGAATAAATTTATTTCATTTTTGAAGTCACAAACAGTTAATATAAATTTTCAAAAATATATGAAATAACAATGTTTTGATTAAACATAAGAAAATTATTTTCATTGAAAACGGAAAATATATATAAAAGTGCATGGAGTTAACAAAAGAAAATGTACCTGGGTAAGGTCTCATCATATTAACATGAAGAGGAAAAGCAGCATCGCCAACAAATACATAAGGTAATGTAAGTTTACCACCAGGTAGATCCTCTGGCAAGGGCAAACCAAGTTGTCCTCTTAATAGCTGCTCCCCAAATTTGCTTTCTTGGAAAACCCCCCCATCACTTTGCCTTCCATATGCACCTACATCTACCATTAGAAAGCGATAGCAAGCATCACATACAGCCATTAGGACAACAGAATGAGTTCCTTTATAATTAAAGAAATCACTTCCAGAAAGAGGAGGTGCTTTGAGTTGCACATGCTTTCCATCTATAGAGCTCAGACAATTTGGAAAGTTCCAAAGCCTCCAAAACTCACGCGAAATTTCTGCCCATTGTGAACCAGAAGGAAAGGCAACAAACTCTTCATTCAATGCCAACCAGATAGCTACACACACCTCCAACAAAATTAGGGAAACTGTAGTTGATCCTAATCGGTAACTTGAAGCCACAGTTTGTTGTGAGGCGCCAGACGATAGAATTCTTAACGTAACTGCTAGCCTTTCTTTTACACTAACAGGACTTAAATGCGTAGATGCATGCTTTACATGAGGCATAATTCGATGTGCCAAGTCGTCGAAACGGGCAGAAGACATACGAAAATACTTAAAATGCATTTCTTCGTCTATGCCTCTCATTTGTTGAACAAGAACGTATTCGCCCTCACTTTTTCTAGAAGCGTGAAGTGGTCGAACTGACCATCTTCTTCGTTTTCGTTTTTTCTGTTGTAGCAACAAAAGTAAATAGCACAACATTTCCTCCTCCTCCAGATCGAGAAGGTCATCCATTTCTCCTGGAACTCGAGTTGCCATGTTTGTTCGTGAGAATACCGCATTACTTCATGTTATCCGATTTTGTTGAATACGCGTCGGTAAGCGCGTTAACTATAAACACAGCTTAGCGCGCGCGCACCTGTCTCGCGCAAATCGAAAGTACGCGCGACGCTTGTCGCGCGCAGCATAAATCGGCCTTTAGACTCTAACTTCAACAGCTTTCTTATACATGCATGTTTATGGAGCACCAAATGTAGGTGAGTTCAGAATCCCATCGTTCATCATTTCTTGAAATTCTTCATAACTAAGATCATCTTTATCATTATGAAGTGGCAAATACAAAATGTGAGCGCAGGTGTTGCTTTTGGGACGAACATCTTCCCAGAAACAAATAGTTGGTTTGTCATGAAATCCTAAGGGAGGCTCTTCCTCCAACCCAGTTGCAAAAATCATAATCATTGGCAAAGATACAAGAGGCTCTGAAACATTGGCAAAGCAGTTTGCTAGAGAAAAATAAGTAAAAGTTGTACTTTTGAAATGGATTGTTCGTCGAAAAGCAATTATTTGATAACACGTTTGATAACAAGCAATTGAATAACGTTTATTATGCAATTAATGCCTGGGGCATTAAATAGACCCTAGAGGTTATAGATACGAGGCGTTTATTTCATTTCTATCACTTCGATCTTTTAAGGTGATGGAAAAAGCTTTTAAAGTACCTTCGCACTCTTGTAGATAGTCACGCCAATGCATTATAACGAGCTGCTCCCTTTCACGTCTTCGACAACCATCTTCTGAAAAATCTGGTGTAAATATTCTGTCAACTTCTATCGCGGTCAGCGGCTTGCTACGATGGCAGAAGTATGGGCGGAAGAGAAGTGGATTTCCTTTTACTAAGCTAAGAACACCCAGTGTTTTTAACCCGTCCTTGAACTGCTCAATTGCACTTCTCGCTTTATCAATTACAAAAAATTGACAAAGCTCTTCCACAAGCTGTTTTCTTGTTTCAAACTTTGGAATGCCGTGAAAGCCAGCTTGTGCAAAAACATCAATGGCATCATCAGATCCTACTATAGTTGCAAACGATGTTTCTTCTGTAGTAGCACTGATCTACAGACGGGAAGTATGATTTGTGAAAATGCCAGCTCAATATCGAGATACAACGTCAGACTTTTTACTATTGATAAAAAAGCAAATATTTACCCGTTCTATGATACTTTTTACTTCACAATCTTGCACATCGTCGATACATGGGTGGCAATTTTCTTCACCAAATACAATGAAGTCATACATAGAGGGGTATAGACAATGTCCTGCAGTTCCACCATTACACAAGGAAACGGAAAGAAGTTTTCCACATTGAAAATACAAGTTTTTCCTCTTTGCTGGATGTAAAGGAAACACAATTATGCTGTTCGATACGTGCTTTTGTAGCTATGTAGCTAAATTGACAACGTACATTAATCCCTTCGGCTAAATTTAACAAAAATTTATATCTACGTAATTCAGTTTTAGCATGAAGACAATCAACGCACGACTACCTTCTTGGTTCATAACCAGCACCTTTTTCGAGGACAATCCCAGGAACGCGTTCGAAGAAAAGGCTCCTGAAACTGCAAGGCGGAGAAATTCTCGTGTCGGCCCTCCTAGATGCACAGCACCCTCGCTAGACCCGATTTCGTCGGCAAACATGACAGACAACGGACGTGAAGGATCAAATTTTTTTCTTCCTAGCTTGGCAATACCGTCTTCAAATACATGCTTGCGGCGAACGTTAATAATGTTTTTAGATATGGCTACGTCACAGGATTTTCCAACCATCACTTTATCTATGTGGTCATTCAAAACAGTACTAACCATTTGTTGCGCGCTTGAATCGCTAAAGACAAATAACCAAGTGAAAAAAATTAGTATGGCATCTTGTCTTCCGTTAACGCTTTTTTTAGCTGATTACCATACTTTGCTAAGCCCATGCTATTTTGAATAGCTGTCTGCACCTCATCGTTGTCATCATCGCTAATTTCAATGGGGTCTGGATCAAGCAATCCTAAGAATGACCTAAAAGAATTTAACACAGAAGAAATTTGTTACAGGACACTCTTTCATAACAGCATATACATTGCTAAAGATAAGCTGTATATAATTACTCGTTTTTTATTCTACTATGTCATTGTAATTATCATGCATATTAATAAACTGGAAATAACATAGTCGTTCGTACGTTATCATCCAATATTGTTTTTAAAGTCATAGCAATAAATTTGTCATTCCAAAATAGCTGGTGAATATATAAACCAACAATCACAAACAGAAACAGTAAATCCAGACGTTGCACAATAATTTTTAAAACAAAAATCAGTAACATAGTGTGTATCCCAACCTACTAGTGTAAAATGGTATCTGACAGCAATACATACTGACCTATAGTGATTGCTCTCAATGGTGGAAGTTGTATGATGGCTAGTTGATCCCTCTGAAAAACTTTGTGCAGCACCTAGTATAGTCATCGATGCTTGTTGATTTTCTATTAGAAACACTATCTCTAAGGAAACTCAATTCAACAAAGAAGGCACATGTGGGTAACTTTTTTGCTTCTGCTCCAGATCGTGATTCCAATTCTCTCTTTTTCAGACACTTTCGGAAATTTTCTCTTAACCTTTTGAACTCATTTTCTGCTTCAATTGCTGAAAAACATATGGGTAAAATAACTAATTGTTGTCAAAAGCATACCAAGTCACAAATTTAAAAAGAAAGCACAACACAACATGTGGTGTGCAATACTCGCAATATTTTTATACACATCTGGTTTAATAGCAAAAAAATAAAAGCATCTGCAAATGAGTTTATGAACAAAATATCAATATCATCTGAAGTCTTGCTATGGACTTTACACAACTAGGACAAAACTAACAATATGGTTTTTTAGATAAAATGCTAGGTATGCAAACACACAGGTATAAACACATGAAATGGCATGTAACAAAGTAAAAACATGAGAGATTTTTCATTTCTGGTTACCACAATAAACATGATAAGCTTCCTGCTTGTCATTTGTCAAAGGATGCTTTGTCATTGATGCATATTTAGAGACTGTACCTTGCACATGGAGTTGCTCTGAAATTTTTAACCATGCTTGTTTCTTCATAACACTGTTCTTGAACCCTTTGGACTTCAAATCCCATAGGCAAGGATAATTCCTCACTTCATCAATCAAATTACTACTGAAGTGATTCTGACTTTGTAAAGAGTACTCGCAATCTTCGTTATGTCCAAAATTGTCTATCGTATTATCACTGGTTTGGCTAAGCAGTTGCTGCTCCTTGGAAACATCTTCAGTCGCCGTCGTCTTCTGCATTATATCTTGATCCAATATATACGTGGATTCTTCACATCCAGTAAATATTTGGCTACCATAATAATTGACATGCAGATTGCTTCTCTGAAAACTTAATAATTTTGTGAGCATCAATTCAGTATTATCCGCCATCTTGCTACTACCCAGGAGTCAATTTTTGTGGTATAATTTGATAGGCTAAAAAGTGAAACGGTATGAATTCTGCGGAAAAAAGTTGACTTGACTTCAACTTTTAAAATTGGAAAGCAGTACGGTGTGCATACCGTTTTGCGGTGCTACATTTTCTACTGCGCATGCCTGTACCGTTTGGCGTTTACCGTTTTCCGTCCTTACCGGGAAGTGGAAATCCAGCTTAAGACTCTCTACACAATCCGACAGTGCTCAAACTACGCACGCGCAGTGAGCGTAATATACAAATGTATATACAATGTGCCCTCCCGGCTATCACCATATTAAAATGGCGACTCTTTTTCAAATATATATATATATTTGAAAACAAGACATTTAAATTTTTAAATAGTATTTTTTATAGTTAAAATCATTTACAAAAAGTGGGAAGACTACAAAGAGGAGGGTTTATTAAGTTTCTAAAATTAAAAATACGCTTAAATCTGGATTTAAAAAACATTAGCAACAACACATTTTCCTTTATTGCAAATTGTATATTCTGTTAAACCATCAACATATTTTCTAATTACTTGTCTTTAGGTGTCTTCCTGTGTAGTAAGCAATTTTTTGGTTTTTTGACATTGGATTTTTATATGCAAATAATACTTTTCCAGCATTAAGAATATTTGAAGTCTTAATTCTTAAATAAATTTTTTGAAGTGAATCCAACATAAATTGGTCATTTAAGTTTTTTTTTGACATATTACATTTTTCAAGGTAATTCTATCACATTGTTGTACTTCTCTTAGATAGACGATACAGTAGCATATCTATGTAATTGAAATTCTTTGCTGTGTACCCACCCTTTTGTGATCATAATGATAAATGGCAAATTTAGAAATTTGGCACACCGTGCATGATTGTAAATGAGAGTATACACTCAAATAAACATCATCTTGTAAACTCAAGATTCCAGTTATAACAGCAACAGAGAAGATTCAAAGCAATATTTCAACTTCATATGAAAGTCATTATCAAGCTAAGTGTGGAAGAAATAATAAGGAATTGTTGTGGCAGAAATAATATGTAATTACAGTTTGCTTTGCTAAATTTCAGGGAATTGACAATATTAGGCATGCAATTTCAAAATGAAAAGCTCTAATGAATAACATAGTTAGTCCAGCGTAGCTCTTACATTCAACACATTAGCTCAGAAAGTTATTATATTTAAACAAGCAAAATGTATGAAAAATTTACCCTCTCTGTCTGTCACATTGAGCACATATTGCAACATATTATATGGAATATTTATATATCTATGAAATATCCTGAAGTATTGTAATATTAAACTATTAGCTCTACATTTTTATGTATATTAAGTAACTTTGAAATGACAATATCCATGTGAGCATAATTAGAGTGGAGATTTCTCCAAAAAGTACGTAGCCTTCTACCAGTGACTTTAATCCGAAGAAATCTCCCGTAGAAATATGCCAGGATTACCTAAATTCAAACATATAGTTGTGAACAAAATGTTTTGCGGTGCACTCACCGTTTCTTTGTGATCTTATGTTATACGACAACTTTATAAACTTGGCACAACAACATGTATAATTATGTGCACACTAGTAATGGCATAAATCTCAAGCATTGCATTATACTACTGGCTAAATTTCATTGAGCCAACAATATTGGACATGGAGTTTGAAAATTGACATTGTAAAATAGAATACATGAAATTTCGATTTAATAGGTTGATGCAGGTTAGGATGCTTTGAAAAATTTTACTACATTCAACAGGGAATAAACACCCCCTGTCCCCTCTCTCTGATATTCTTAACATCAAAGAGAGTAAGCCATAAGCATTACACAAATACAAGTATAGACCTATAGCTATGCATTACAATGTCAAAGCATACAGTAAGCAGTAAGCACTTCATGCTACTTACTTTAAAGCCTGCCAATTATCTCCCATATGCTTAGGGATAAGCAACTCAGCATTAAGATCTCTTGCTAGCTTTCCTTTTCGAAACAGGTCTGTTTAAGTGGGAATGGCAGAAACTTTTGCTTCATAATCCTTTCTTACAGATGAAATCTTGCTGGTTTTACTGTCTTGAATCAACGAGCCAAGATCGTATATTTGCCTACTTTCAGCCATGATGACTTCAAGATATAAATTGGCCAAATGCCATAGTCATGTAATTATACCTTTAAAGATTTGAACATTTATAACGCTGGCTCAAGAGCATCAGTCAGAATGAAATTTTAGTGCTCGTGGGCTTAGGGGCTGTTCCATTGAGTTCTATAAGACCTGGAGGGAACACGTCAACAAAATTACTATCAAAAAGACGCAACACGGCGGGTGGATAGATTAACAATCTAACACCATGTCAGTTTAAAGCTGCATACAACCAACTATTGATGAAACATAACATCAAAGGAGGACATGGAAACTGTATTGCTCAATATAGCACTGAAATCTTGACAAAATTAAATGATCGTTGCGAGACAAATGAAATTTCGGCAGATATTTCCGATGTGACAATGGCAAGACGATATGATATGAAGCTGCGACAACCAATTAAAGAAGAGCATGACTACTGTGACGTGCCCAACTTCATTCCTCTGTCTGAGTATAAGGGAGCAGCTATATCGTACATTGCTGGCTATGTTGTTAAAATGGTTGCAAGAAAGATCACTTGCCAAGATTGTATTGTTGCTTTGCATACATCGAAAAACAGGGCTCTAGCCTGTTTGTGTCTTGGAAGAGTAATGGTGGCCTAAAAATACCAACTGATGGTCTTCTAAGTGTGTCATGAGACCGAGAATT